CAGTTATGGGCCATACGTGATATACACTTAAGCGATCATTTTTCTTTCGATACATGACTGACGAGGCAGATTTTTTCCCGCAGTAGGTTGTCATTTCTTTCTGCGGTAGACCAGTTGCCATCCATTTTTTATAAAATCCGGCCTGTCCTTCTATTTACGAATAGCTAGGGGAGAAGAAGAGGATTCATAACTTTTCCAAATGTATGAGCACGTAAGTGAATGCAATGGATTTGAATGGAATTCAAACACGACTCTCCGATTCATCAAACATAGCCGCTATCCATTACTGCACAAACTGAGATAGATAGATAGATAGATGGATAGATAGATAGATGGTGAACAGACTGAGATAGATAGATAGATAGATAGATAGATAGATAGATAGATAGATATGAACAGACTGAGATAGATAGATAGATAGATAGATAGATAGATAGATAGACAAACAGATAATCCTTTCTGTCCGCAGACTTCTAAGAAAACACATACGCTGCTCTCATTAATTGGTTTGCCTAATTTCCAAGCATCCGTCAGATTATCTAATGCCATCGACAAAAATGGCTTTGTGCCGAAATTGACTCGACTAAAGACAATTACATGTGGAAATTAATCCTGACGAACGCATTAGCAGAAAACGCACTGTAGAAAAGTTTAGGTTGAATCAAGTTCAATTAATGGAAATAAATGGAAATCTTCATTGTCGTTAAAGAGATTAAGTTTTGAAAGGAATGGGATTGTGTTTTCATTTCCTTCATAGCAAATATTATAACAAGAGAAGATTCCAGGACCAGATTGAATCGAAGAACAAATAATAATGCTTGCTAATTAGAAATTACCAAGTACGTATACTGGAAAATTGCGTTAACCCGAAATGCAGATTTTGTGATAAATATCCAGAAAACTTCTATCAGGTTGCACAGTGTTAGCACCCACTTAATATACACGTTGCGATGTCGTCTAAATAACGCAAAAATGATAATGACACTGACATCTTATTTTAACATATATATTTACCAATATTACACAAATATATCTTAAAATACTAAAGTGTAAATTTATTCAATGAAATCGCCATTGGCTTCAGCTACAGTCCCCAGACGACTTCGGAATCTCCTGCAACTCTTCTGGGCGGTCTCCTTTTTTAAATGCTGCCATAATCCTTGCCTTCAGTTCATCTTTGGTGTTACAAGGAGTTTTGTTAGTCTCTCGCTTAACTTTGGCCTACATATGATAATCTAGTGGTGGGTCTGTAATCTGGGGAGTTAGGTGGCCAGATGTAAGGGGTGAGACATGGCTGGACACTCCTGCTTGTATGGCATGGTGCAGAGTCCTGTTGCCAGACATCGGGTCTTCCAACAACCACTCTCTTGTCTCTGGTCATCACTCCCTCCTCAAGGCACTTGATGTTGGCCTCTGTGTTGAGGCTGGGACCTCACCGACAAATTCGGGTGTTCTGTTTCAGAACAATCAGAGTGAGTTTTCCGAGCCACCATGCCTTCATAATCACAATTAGACTCATCCAACTCTTTCCGAATCCTCTGAACTGTCTTCAAATGGACATCCAGACACTCTGAAATGTTCGTATTGGAGCTTCCGGCACGAATGCCAAGGAATAAAACACACCGTTTCCAAATTTCTGGCGGAGTGAATTGCATCATGGTGCTCTTTTTCTCACTGACGGCGTCTAACTGACCCTACTATACTCTGCATCCAACAAAATCAAAAACAAAAAATGCGCATGCGCAAAATTAAAAATATAAAATGGCGACATCGCACCCAGTAAAACTCGGCATGACAGAGTGGGCCAATATCGGCATTGGAAAATATGCACTTTTTACGGGAAGGAAACTAAGAAACGGATATGAACAGATTCGATTACAGAGATAGGATGTTTATGGGATTTATACACAGAGACAGAAAAGTTAAAGCTAATCACCTAGACATCATGATAATAGGGTCAGTTAGACACCGGGAAAAAGAGCACCATGACGCAATTCCCTCTGCCAGAAATTTGGAAACGGTTTTGCTTTATTGCCTGGCATTCGTGCCGGAAGAACAGAATGTCCTTTCTTACTGACATGTCACTTACTTTGGTATCTCTTAGAGTGAATATTTAAATATCGGGGCCACCACATATCAACTCTTCTTAGGTCATATGTTCCTGATGAATATTAAATTCTGTTCAGTTCTCTGGCATTTTGAATACCATATTATTATAGTTTAGTGCCGTGTTTTGTGCATCTAACCCAACGTTTCTCACTCAGTGCTCTCCGGCGAACTAATGCACCCTGAAAAGTGGCCATGTGCGCTCGAATTTAACGGAAGATTAATTTATAAATTACTTTTATATTTAAAATACCTTTATTCTTAAAAAGCTAGAAACACCAAGCACATAGCTTCCATTTCTAAGTCAAGTGACGTTTCAACTGATGTCGTTGGCTTATCAATAATGGAAGAGGTGCTGTTTGTTATATCTGCTGTGTGTGGTTTACAAGTCAAGCCTAAAGAGGTACCCATTGATCAATTTTAGATTTCCATTCAAGAAGAACATCCTCTGAGAGCTGGATATTTTATTGCCATTTTCCACATCCTGCCTCTACGAATTAGGATTTTCTGCACTTACCAACAGCGAAGCAACATTAAATATTAAATGGATTGATGAGGAATTGAGAGTATATTTATTACATGTAAGGCCTAACATTCAAAGAATTCACGAAAAATATCAAGCACAAACTTCACACAAGCAAACTTAAATATAAAATCTGAAAGATAATTCTTATCTTAAGCGACGGAACATCTGACCAAATAGTTCACATGTTGATTATAATATAGAATTGATCCCCCACTTTATATCCACATTCTATTTTCTTGTTTGTTTATCTAATCCTGATTTGGTATGAATCAAAATGTTCTCCCCCAGCTATGGGTTAATTATTAAGACTTGTATCACTAAATCATTATTATTTGAAAAAAAAACTTCTTCCAATCTAAAAATATTTTCTGGCTTTAAATAACTCGCAAAGGGTTGATAACCCGTAAAACCTGAGTCACTCAAATCAATGTGTAAGTATGCACATTTACGTATGTATAGACACTACCGTGGCTACAAATGAGGGATCAGTTTACATGTTGATTGGAATATAGAATTGATTCTCCACTTTATATCCACATTATATTTTCTTGTTTGTTTATCTAATCCTGATTTGGTATTAATCAAAATGTTCTTTCTCAGCTATGGGTTAATTAGTAAGACTTGTATCACTAAATCATTATTATTTGAAAAAAAAAACTTCTTATAAACTAAAAATATTTTCTGGCTTTAAACAAAGGGTTGATAATCCGCAAAGAAAAACGAATCAATCAATTGAAAGAATGTTTGAAATTTTGTTTCTTGATCGGCCTCTTTAGGAACAAGCAAATATATACTTATTTTTTTATCTGTTTGACCTCTCTCGTCCAAAACCCACCTGTCCTGCGGCAGGAGTGGTGGCTTTGCAATAAAATCTAAAAGATAATTCTTATCTTAAGCGACAAAACATTTGACTAAATGTGCGTTGTAGATCCATTCATCTATTAAATTTATTTCACTTTTCTCCCCTACTTAAGGAAATAAAATGAATTGTTGGTAATAAAAGTATTTTTGCTTTTCTTCACTCGTTGACTTTTATTAAGTTAAAACTTTACTAGTATAAAACTTAATAGTCAATTAATGCGCCCGGGCGAATTAATGCGCCCTGAAATGTAACCAGTTACGCCCTAAGTTAACAAAAGTGTAATTTGGAATTATTTTTATATTTAAAACATCTTTTTTTTTTTTTTACATAGAGGCACAAAGAACATGGCTTCCGTTTCTAAGCCAAGTCTTTATGATTTGATATTTTAAACCGGGTGTTAAATTAATTTATCTTTCAATAATAAATCAAATATTAAATGCAATGATGAGGAATTGAGATGATGTTTATCACAGATGGAGCCTAACATTTAAAGAATTCACAAAGAATTTCAAGCCCAATGATTCAAACAAACAAACTTAAATATAAAATGTAATGTCTTAAAAATAAATGCTTTTTCCAGAAGACTTCTTTATAATTTCATATTTTTTCAAATTTCATAATTAATTTTTCCTTATTAAAAACTTAAAGATAGGAGGAACACTAGAGCATTGGATTGTCGGTCGGAACGAGTAATAGGAGAGTTCGAATTCCAGTCGAGTTCATTACATTCACTTACGCGCTATATGCCCTTGGGAAAAGTATGAATCCATTTCTTTTCCCCCTCTCAGTAAATAGCAGGATAGATTAGGCTGTATAGCCTTGGGTAGCAACCAGTCTAGGAGATGAAACTGTATGTAGCCCTGCTATGAATCGATGATTCCGACTATGGTCGACTTATTTTTTAAAATTTAAAGTACGCCCCAAAGTTTTAGTTAGTCTATAAGTGCACCCTTACGTAAAAAAAAATAAAAACTTGCGAAACGCTATTCTAATCGAAGGATCAAATAGATACTAATAATAACAATCTTGACTAACAAGCGCTTGGAGATTAATCGCCCTGATATCCCACTTGTACACAAGAGCAGCTAGAAATGGATCCTAACAGATGTAGTACATTTGGGATAACAACCTCGTTCAGGCGGAAATCGAAAGGTACCAAAACCTGGCAGAGTAAATCGGAGAGATGTAAGAAGTGGTAGCGTAAGTTATCCCTGTTGCTGTTGGCACGTTCGGGAGTGTTTCCAAGAATCTGCCTCGTAAGATGCCTTGGGGATACCTGACATCTTTGGGAGTGCGCCAGTGGCATCGCTGTTTGGAACAGCTCATGTGCTGAGGAAAGTGGAAAGTGTTTTGTCTCGAAGCCAGAAGTAAAATCGGAGATATAATCATCATCCATCCAGAATCGGAGACCAAATGAAATCATAATAATAATAATAATAATAATAATAATAATAGATGCTTTTAGAATAGATTCTCAAGTTTTTTTTGTATCTAACCAAACCGAGCTTACGACCATATCACGTGAAACACCGGTTTCCGTACGATAAGTTAAGCAACGTCGAGCATGCTAAGTACCTAAGTGGGTGACCGCTTGGGAATGCCAGATGCTGGGATGTGTGGGTGGTGTAATTGGCTTACGGCCATATCATGTTGAATGGCCGACTCCCGTACAATCACCAAAGTTAAGCAACGTCGAGCATGGTCAGTACCTAGATGAGTGACCACTTGGGAATATGAGATACTATAAGCTTGGAGGTGTGGGTGATATATTTTAGATAACGGCTCGGAATTGTTAATCGGAGAGCCGAGTTTCAATTCCAATTGGGTTCGTTGTATTCACTTACACGCAAAAACCCTTGGAGAAGGCATGAAGTCACCTTTTCTCCTACAGCTATGGGTTAATTAGTAAAACTTGTATCACGAAACCATTATTATCTCAAAAATTGTTGTCTAAAAATATTTTCTGGCTTTAAATAACCTGATTGATAAGCTGTAAAAAATCAGCCAATCAATCAAATAAGCAAAAGACCAAATTGAATGAAGACGCACGTAATAATTATAATAATAATAACAATAATAATAACAGTGTTTTTCAAAGCCCAGATACTCTCTTCAAGTCCAGATACTCTTTTCAAGCCCAGATACTCTCTTCAAGTCCAGATACTCTTTTCAAGCCCAGATACTCTCTTCAAGTCCAGATACTCTTTTCAAGCCCAGATACTCTCTTCAAGTCCAGATACTCTTTTCAAGCCCAGATACTCTCTTCAAGACCAGATACTCTATTAAAGCCCACATACACTCTTCAATCCCAGATACACTCTTCAAGCCAAGATACTCTCTCCATGCCCAGTTACTCTTTTAAAGCCCAGATACTTTCTTCAAGCCCAGATACTCTCTTCAGGTCCAGATACTCTCTTCAAGCCCAGATACTCTCTTCAGGTCCAGATACTCTCTTCAAGCCCATATTCTCTCTTCAGGCCCAGATACTCTCTTCAAGCCCAGTTACTCTTTCCAAGCCCAGATACTCTCTTCAAGCCCTGATACTCTCTTCAGGCCCAGATACACTCTCTAGGCCCAGTTACTCTTTTCAAGCCCAGTTATCTCTTCAAGCCTAGATACTCGCGTGCTCATCGAAATAAATGACTGTCATCTCAAATAGTGACGACTTTATTGTCAGCGAATAGTACGCCTCACAGCAACTTCAATAGTTCTGTTTTTGGGGGGGGTTTTTTTTTCGTTATTTACCCAATACAAGAATCACAAGCCAGTCATGGTAGAGACTTATTGAATGAGGTAGTAAGGACGTATGTGGGGGGTGAACAAGCAGGACATATTATGAGAATATGTAGGCTAGATAATGGTTAACCTGTGACTTGAAGAGGTTATGATTGTAGTGATCAAGAAAGCATCCTCTCGGGAGACCGTTGCACAATGCAATTGTTCTGGGGAAGAAGCCATTTGAGTGGAAATTTTTCCTCCTATAAACTATGAACGGAATGAGGATGAGCCAACACTATATATGTGACATGGCTTTTCCTAGAGTGTGAAGCAAGATGACCTTTAATAATAATAATAATAATAATAATAATAATAATAATATAACCAATGTCATCGTCAAATAAAGCTGAAACCAAAGGTTTATACTTGCTCTCATGACCAATAGTGACTAACTAGAAATTACCACGTATACATATTAAAAATTGGGTTTTTGAAATTCAAATTATTGATATATATATCAAGAATTTTTGATCATCTTTATCAGGTTGAAAGTGTTAAGAACTCATATTAAACCTCGGAGGATAGAGGGTCAATATATGTAGAAAATCTTTTTTTTTTACTGAAAGAAAACTGCAAGAAACTGGTATGAACATCACCCAAACCCGTTTACAGAGATAGGAATGTAAAAGATTTATGGAATTTTAGATTCAACAAACAGAACAATCAAAACAAATCGCCCAGACATCGGGATCAAAGACCACAAAACCAGAATCTGCTTTCTTATTGACATGGCAGTCCTTGTAGATTTAATTTATCTTTAAAGATCTTCAAAAACTATCAAAATACAAGGATCTTGAAGTGGAAATCTTAAAATTATGGCACATGAGGATATCAATAATTCCATTGTAGTTGGAGCCTTCGGATTTTTATTGAAAAAATTTCGGATATAAGAGAGGATTTTTTGACAGCAAAAAGAAATACAAAAGATTGTACTCACAACAATAATGTGTGATATTTTTTTTTTTTTTTTTTTTGATCAGTGATAAATGTCATTTCTGGCATTTTTAAGATGTTGGGACAACAGAAATCAATAATACTAATACTACTACTATAATAATAATAATAATAAAATATAATCCAATGGCTACGCACATGAGAACATCAACAAAAAGAAGTTGGAGCCCTTTGATTGATTTATTCCGATAGACTCATTTGAAGGATTCCTTTGTAACCCATGGCTTAAAGAAATAAAAAAATTTTCTTTTTTACAGCCCACACCTTACAAAGGGCTTTATCTATGTATAATATATATAAATATATATATATTATATATATATATATATTATATATGATATTCAAATTCTGTGCGTATATATCGTGTGTTTTTGCTTTTTTTTAACTATAGTGAAAAAATGTCATGATCATTCTGTATCAGGTCTCTGGTCGGGAATCAGAAAAAAATGAATATACATAAGAAATGAAAGGAAATAAAATAATAGTAATCTTTTCGGGTTGATTCTAAAGGTTTTCGTATTTAAATACATGATTGCCTGAAACGGTTCTGTTGCACAGTATATTCTGCCACAGGAATGGTTTCTGTCTTTGAACATACCAGAAAACCCGTTTACGGAGATTAGGACTTGAAAGTAAATAAGGCGAGAGAGATTTCACAAAACAGTTAACAGACAGAATAAACGGGTGACCACTTTGGAATCGTCCATCGGATTTGTGGGGGAATCAATTGGTTTACGGCCACATCACGTTGAAACATCGGTTCCCGTACGATCACCGAAGTTAAGCCATGTCGAACCTGGTCAGTATCTAAATGGGTGACCGATTGGGGATATCAACTGCTGGAAGTGTGGGTAGTTTAATGGATAACGGCTCGAATTGTTAATCGGAGAGCAGCCTTTTAATTCCAGGAGTCAAGGAGAAGGGCGAAGACAAACAGGAAGATAAAGAAAATATACTTATCTTTTTTTTTTTTACTTATATTAAGTTGTTATCGTCTGAATAATTTATTCTCGGTACATCGAATTTTAATTAAATTGTGATTATTGATTAAGCGATTGAGTTGTTTTTTACGGTTTAGTAACCCTTTGTGTGTTGTTTAAACAGAAATATATTTTGGGGGGTTGTAAGTATAATTCTTTTTCTATGAATGAATATTGCATTAACATCAACAATATTTTTATAGATACAAATCCTACTATTTAACCTGTAGATGTATTCGTACATTTCCAAGGAATATGTTCGCGTAAATGAAATATAACGAACTCGACTGGAATTCGAACTCTGATTTCCCGAACTTTTACACCACTCGCACATCCAAATTCTGGCTTAGTTGGAACAGTTCAACATAAAACTAAACACAAAGTTTCTGTCTATATTTCTGAGATGAGGTATTATGTGCACTATTTACATTATTCGGACTATTGTCCTCATCTTTGTTGCCATATTTATCACAACGTTTCGGCCCTTCAGTATCTGTCTATATTTCTGAGATGAGGTATTATGTACACTATTTACATTATTCGGACTATTGTCCTCATCATTGTCGCTATATTTATTACAACATTTCGGCCCTTCAGCCTCTGTCTATAATTCTCAGATGAAGTATTATGTACACTATTTACATTATTCGGACTATTGTTCTCATCTTTGTCGCTATATCACAACGTTTCGGCCGTTGTACGCTCCAGCCTTCTTTAGGTGGTTGGAATGTCGAACTGAATCCTTTATTTCGCTCACTGCAGTAGACTGTTCTAGTTCCACGTGCCATGATTAATGGATGTCAGTTATCTCCTGTTAATTCCTCTATCCAAATTCTCCACCCCCTTAACCAGCTTTTGGGTCCTGTCACTGGATCTAACCAACGCCTTTATCCACTGTGCCTCTTAAAAAATGTTGTCTTTTTTTCTTATCTCTCCTAAAATTTTCTCCGCTGTTCATTTAGTCAAGCTTGCGTTGTTTTCCTCTGACCTGCGAGTATCAAATTTTCCAAGTCCTCTTTCCTCATTATGAGCCCTAGAATTTTCCACTCTTTCTTCGTAAATTGTAAATATAATCGTGCTTTTTGTTTCCACTTGCTTAAAAATGTCACTGTTGGTCGCATATTCGGTCCATTATATTCTCAGCATCCTTCTGTAGAACCCCATTTTTGTTGCTTGAAGTCTTTATTTGTGGGATGATCCAGTATTCACTGCCGGAAAGGACGACTGCTATGACGTAACAGTTTACTATTCATTTCTTTGTTTCTAACGAACAACTTCTCCGGCAATAAAACATGTCTTTCATTTTCTGTTTCTTTTGAATCTACCCTCAACAGAGTTTTGTCTGCAGAGCTTATTTTGTTAAGGTTACGTCCGTTACCCGATAATAAATCCGGGTAGGCTTTTGCGTTTTTAAATATACGCTTTTATTTTTAGTAAAAATATTCTGTGTTTATTTTCTTTCTTTTTCTTTGCATTTTCGTATTTTTTTTTTTTTTCGTTTTTTTTTTATTTTTTTATTTTTTTTTTTTCGGTTGAATTTCAAATTTTTCTTCTCTTTATTTTTTTCTTTCGTTATCTTTTCTTTTTTTCTTTCTTTAACTTTTCTTTCTTTTCTTATGTTTCTACTCTCCATTTTTTTTCCTTTTTCTATTTTTTACATTTTCTTTTCTTTTGCTTTCTTTTTCTTTTAATGTTTACCTTCTCTCTTTTTATTTGAGCTTCAAATTATCATTCACCCTTCCTTGTTTATCTCCTTCTTTTTTTCTTTTCTCCTTTCTTTCTTTTTCTCCTTTTTTCTTTTCATTTATGTTTACTTTCTTTCCTTTTTTCTTTCTGATTGAACTTCAAAACGTTCTTTCTTTCCGTCTTTTCTTCTTTTCTTCTTTTTAGTTAAGTCTCAGATTTTACTTGCCTCATTTTTTTCTTCTTTTACTATATTTTCCAAAAATATTCATTCTTTCTTTTTCTTCCTTTCTTTCATCTTCTGCTATTTCTTTTACTTTTTTCAGTAAACATTGTTTACT